ATGAAGCGGCTCAGGTAAATACTATGCCACTGATCTTTTTATGATGCCAAAACTATATGCAACTTAGTTGTTTCTTTTTGTGACTTTGATCAACATACTTAATTTAGAGTGTCATGAAGAAATATCTTGTTCTGTTCTTCATTTTGATCAGTGGGACTACCCTACTATACTGCCTCTGTGTGTTCCATATTTGATGAGAATCTTGTCTAAAACACTTATTGCTATTTTTGGAAGGATTGCACATCCTGCCCTTCAGAGTTCTATCCTTGCAAGTCTTGACATCATTTAGAAGTTGATATAACATGAAAAATGGTTAATGAGGTGTGTGATAACAGACTGATGGTGCCTAAGTTGTGATTACTAAAATGATGTCCAGAATGTATATGGGACCATTTTTTCACTCCTTTTTGCAGGCACTCAAAATGTATTAAGTTTAAATTTAGTCCATGCACAAATTTGTATATGAAAAAGTGGGAATTCTTTTCGTAGGCTACATGGATTGTGCCTACAATTAAATTAAATGTTCTCATAAATTACTAATGAATATAGACCCAACAATTAAAAATATGGCTCAGATCGGTTTATTGCCATGAGACCTAGCCTAACTGCCTAACAACATACCATTGCATATGATGAACACTAGTAGAGCTGTCCAAATCCAAGCTGTACCTGTTGGGCATATATTAGAGCTGTCCAAATCCAAGCAAATGCAAAGGATAATGAATGACCACTGCATATACTACTGCATTATGCCAGTAGTTTTGGCTTATTTTTGTAGTCTCACTATCTATCTATCTAGCTATCTTTTATAATGTTATGTTGACTACGTACTAATTTATTTACTCACTTTTTACATGTAGTTCCAACAACTTGATTATGACAAAGCGGTTATTGATCTGGTGCATTCTGAATGGGCCGATATTCTATCAAGTTATATAGAGTAGGTATGATTTGATCATTAGAACGTTGTGATCATTTAGACTTGGTTCGTGGAAGTAGTATATGACTTGGACGATGATTCGATTTGAATTGGTCATGGAAGTATTTAGACTTGTTAATTAGTTCTTTTGTATTTTGAATCTTAGCTTGTGCAAAATTATGTAACTACACTTGGCGATGGTGAATGGATAAATTGATTTTTTATATGATTAAAATTTAAGTAGGTTAAAAACGGTTAAAAACCGTTGCCGTTGAGACAACGGTTAAAAACCGTTGTCTATTTTACAATAGACAACAGTTTATGGGCGTGACTTTTAACAACAGCGGTTTCAATAACACACAATAGACAACGGTTACAAAACCGTTGTCATTTCGAGAAAAGACAACGGTTTAAAACCGTTGTCTATGTGAGTGACTTTTAACAACACCGGTTTCAACAACACTTAATAGACAACGGTTAAAAAACCGTTGTCGTTTCTAGAAAAGACAACGGTTTAAAACCGTTGTCTATGTGCGTGATTTTTAACAACACCGGTTTCAACAACACTTAATAGACAACAGTTAAAAAACCGTTGTCGTTTCTAGAAAAGACAACGGTTATTAACCGTTGTCTATGTGTGTGACTTACAACAACACCAGCTTCAACAACACTTAATAGACAACGGTTAAAAAACCGTTGTTGTTTCTAGAAAAGACAACGGTTATTAACCGTTGTCTATGTGTGTGACTTACAACAACACCAGCTTCAACAACACTTAATAGACAACGGTTAAAAAACCGTTGTTGTTTCTAGAAAAGACAACGGTTAAAAAACCGTTGTTGTTTCTAGAAAAGACAACGGTTATTAACCGTTGTCTATGTGCGTGACTTACAACAACACCGGCTTCAACAACACTTAATAGACAACGGTTAAAAAACCGTTGTTGTTTCTAGAAAAGACAACGGTTAAAAAATCGTTGTCTATGCGCGGGACTTACAACAACACCGGCTTCAACAACAGAAATTATACCCCTACGACAACGGTTATTAACCGTTGTCTATGTGCATTTTTCTTGTAGTGTTCTATAATTAAATATCTTGAGCCATTAACGGGAGATCTATTTACTGCACGTTTTGCAGATTGTCACTTTGATGAAGCATCTTTTCCACACTAAGGGAAGGAAATGATGTTGTGGAAAGGACAATAACATGGAATGCCCCAACATTGCTTCATCTAGATCCTAGAACTCAACAATGTGAACAAGAAGTTCAAAAGATAATCCATTTGCAAGAGTTGGCAAATAGACTGCCAGATGCATTTGTTGATCCAAAACGGGTAACAAAATCTTATATCCCAGCAGCTAATGTCCCAGCTAGTGTTGATATCCCAAAAGATCAAACTGGGAATGAGTCCCAAGTACGCTTGAAGCGTGGAAGACCTGTTGGTTCAAAGGATAAAAATCCTCGAAAAAGGAAAGTCAATACAAAGAATGGTATTGATGAGAATAATGATATCAACATGAATGACATTCATGAGAAAAGTCAAGGAAATGAATTTGAAGGGAATGAAGTCCCTAAAGAAATTCATATACCTGAGATTGAGAAAAATGAAGAAATTTTAATAAATTATATTAATGCTAAGGAGATATGCAATAGAAATGAAGTCACTTTAGATGACTATTTTGCATATAATGTAGCATTAAATATCATGAATGATGATATGGATCATGAACCAAGATCCATTCAAGAATGTCAAAATAGGGACGATTTGCCTAACTGGAAAGAAGCAATACAAGTAGAATTGAATTCTCTTGAAAAACGAAAAGTGTTTGGCCCAATCGTCCGAACACCTGAAGGAGTGAAAGCTGTGGGATGCAAATGGGTGTTTGTAAGAAAGAGAAATGAGAAAAATGAGGTTACGAGGTACAAAGCAAGACTCGTAGCTCAAGGATTCTCTCAAAGACCAGGTATTGATTACGATGAAACATATTCCCCTGTCGTGGATGCTGTAACATTACGATACCTCATTAGCCTAAGTGTACTTGAAAGGCTAAATATGCAACTAATGGATGTTGTAACAGCTTACCTGTATGGGTCACTTAATAGTGACATTTACATGAAAGTCCCTGAAGGTCTGAAAATGCCTGAAAGGCATAAAACGAATCCTCGAGAACTTTATTCAATAAAGTTACAAAGATCTTTATATGGATTGAAACAATCAGGGCGCATGTGGTATAACCGACTTAGTGAATATTTACTAAAAGAAGGTTATACCAATGATCAAATTTGTCCATGTGTTTTTATAAAGAGATATGAACATGGATTTGTTATAATCGTTGTTTATGTTGATGATTTGAACATCATTGGAACCCCTGAGGAAATCTCAAAAACAGTGGATTATTTGAAAAAGGAATTTGAAATGAAAGATCTTGGGAGAACAAAATTCTGTCTTGGCCTACAAATTGAACATTTGGATAAAGGAATTTTTGTTCATCAATCAAATTATACCAAAAGGGTACTTAGAAGATTTTATATGGATAAAGCACATCGATTGAGTAGTCCAATGATTGTTCGATCCCTTGATGTGAAAAAGGACCTTTTTCGACCTCAAGAAGATGATGAAGAAATCCTTGGTCCAGAAGTGCCATATCTTAGTGCAATAGGTGCACTAATGTATCTTGCTAACAACACAAGGCCTGATATTGCATTTTCTGTTAATTTGTTAGCAAGATATAGTTCTTGTCCAACACGAAGGCATTGGAATGGCATCAAACATATATTACGCTACCTCCAAGGAACTGTTGATTTGGGGTTATTTTATGCAAAAGATTCCAAATCAAACTTGGTTGGTTTTGCAGATGTTGGATATCTTTCGGATCCGCATAAAGCGCGATCCCAAACTGGTTATTTGTTTATGAGTGCAGGTGCAGCTATATCTTGGCGTTCCACTAAGCAAACACTTGTTGCCACTTCTTCAAATCATGCTGAGCTAATCGCTATTCATGAAGCAAGTCGGGAGTGTGTATGGCTTAAATCAATTGCTCGATACATTAGGGGAGCATGTGGTCTATCTGTGGATGATACTCCAACAATAATATATGAAGACAATGCAGCATGTATCGCTCAATTAAAGGAAGGATACATCAAGGGAGATAGAACAAAGCACATTTCACCAAAATTCTTCTTCACTCATGACCTCCAGAAGAAAGGTGAAATCATTATTCAACAGATTCGTTCAAGTGAGAACTTAGCAGATCTGTTCACCAAAGCATTACCTACGACTACATTCAAGAAATTAGTCCGTGGAATTGGTATGCGTCATCTTAAAGATCTTCAATGATGTCTTCATCAGGGGAGCATATTATTGTACTCTTTTTCCCTTGACCAAAGTTTTTTTTCCACTGGGTTTTTCTTTGGTAAGGTTTTTAACGAGGCAATAAAGTGTTCCTCCTTTGGACATCCAAGGGGGAGTGTTATGAAATATGAAATAAAATAATGAAAGTGGATGTTCTAGAAGGACACAATACTCCAAATGTGGCTGCTAGGAATGGAACCTAAGACCTCATGCATGACAAACCAATCCAACATCTTTATCTACCAACTAGGCTAGCACCAACAAGTGGTTATTTTTGTGTAAATATTATATTCATTAGCTATGAATCCTAATGCTATAAATACCCCCCTCTTCTTTGATCTAAAACACACAAAATCATATATGAATGATATATGAATAAATAGCAAATCTCTCTCATTGCTAAATCTCTGTAATTCTATTGCTCTCCTCCTCATTATTATTATTATTATTATTATTATTATTATTATTATTATTATTATTATTATTATTATTATTATTATTATTATTCACAACAATAGCTATATTATAGTTAAGATATATATATATATATATATATATATATATATATATATATATATCAACACTATAAAAAAAAGTCTACAGTTAAAAAATACAATTAAAAAATAAAATTCAACAAAACCCATAGAAAGTTAAACAATAATAATTTCTTAGAATTGAAATGGTGCAGGAAAAACATAGAAGAAAATAATGATTTGTTCTCCTCCCATTAGAGATGCAAGTGATACTAAATTATCATATAAAAGAAAGTGTAATAAAGATTTTAAGATGAAAGGGCAACGTGAAGTAGGTGAGTAATTTGAGTAAAATGGCAGGAAAACATGAAGAATCTGCGCTAACTTTTCAATGTTTGTTGTACCAATAAACTTCCCTAAAAAATATTACATTTCCAGTTTCCCTTCCCCACGATGCATTTGAATCAAATAACCCAAGTTTTTTAGCATAAATTGTTCAAGAAATAAACTGGGAATGAATTATTCATCAGCAGTCCAAATTCAAACCAATTCAATTCCTTCTCCCCTGATGGAATCAATCACAGCTTTGACCTTTCCATGGTATCTCTGATCCTTTTTGAAGAAAACAGAAACAGCAGGAATGCCTTTGACCCGCAGTCGCTCCCCCAGCAACTTGCCTATTTTTGCAGCAGCAGCAACATCCCGCCTGTTTTCTTTCGCTTCTATCATCCCCAACCTCAAACTCTTCTCTTGTGTGCTGGCAGCTGTGGCAACTGTTGCACTTGGTGTGTGGACTACTTGAGCATTCACATACTTGTTCGTGAAGTGCATCCTCAACACATAAGGTTTGAGGAACTTTGTGACTCTTTCTGGTCTAACTGGTGGAGGAATAACCATTTCTGATTTACACGACACACAAAAAAAAAAACATTAAATTCAACTTGCGCATAACTGTAATGAAGAAGAAGACTTGTTATGGGGTGACAATCATGCCAAGACTTCAAGGTTTTAGCTCAGTCTATATAGTTTTACTTGGTTTTCAATTTTGGGCTCAATATAAGCATTAAGAACTAGAGTGAATTTCATACATCCAATTCTGATGCATAAAATGGTATGCAACATCAGAGTTCAGAAGGAACAGGAACATCATGTAAGACAACAATCCATTCAAATAGCAATCTCTAGCACGTAGTAAACTACAAAAAATGCATTAAAAATATGAAGAATTGAAGATCCTTTAGGAAGAGAATAAAGCATCACAAAGATCTATTCTTCCAAGAAGACAAAGTAAACATTTCAAGGTTTGGGAGTGGGGGTTGAAATAAAGCTTCAGTATTATGTCGAGTAAATTTTAGATTTGGTCCTAGAACTCTAGAAGCTTTAAGCTTAGTTTCGTTTTGGTCCAAGTCTCAATTTAGCAAATAATGATGAAAAGTTTTGGTTTCAATTTGGACATCAAACAAATCTCTTTGGCCAAATTGGATATAATTCCATCAACATGGGACTTCCACATGCACATGGGCAAAGATATTATAGGTGTTGAATTTGGAAGATGGAATGGCCTGGCGGTTGGAGAATAACACCACCCGCCAGTTAGGCGGAAGCAATGATGAAGAATCAAAGAATAGAAAATGTATATAAGACTGAAACATATTAGTATTATCTGTGTTTCTAACAAAGAAACATAGTACATATATATATATTCAAAATAACTACCCATAACTAACACCTATTCATAAACAGACACAACCTATAGATAAACCTAACTCTTTATTTTTCAACAATAGGAATAATCACCAGAGGGAAATAATGGCTAATGCTTTATAAGCCAGTCCATAAACACTAATCTACTAATGTCTGGAATATACAAGACTGAATATAACCAGTTGATTCATATTAGTAGAATTCTCCATTACATATCCAACTAAACTTTAAGGTAAACCAGCAAAAGATATTAATCCCATATCTTAAGTTCATTTTAGGTCCCTCCCAAGTATCATCCGACAGAAGGGATTCATGATTCCTACTATAAGTCTATAACCATTGACTTAGGATTTTAGGTTTCATAGTACATAACATTTCAGCATCCTAAAATTTATGTCAATATTATCTGAAGCTAAGAAAGCCTTTTCTATTACTAACATATCATTTTTTTATCATTAATCATACATAATAAGTATATAAGACTCAAAGCAAAGAGAAAGTGATAGTTTATTTCTACGAAGTTTGGTTTGCATCACATTTCACCTGACTAGTGTTGTAAAACTCGCTCGGCCTAGGCACTACTAGGCGCCCCTAGGCCGAGTCAATTTTGGCTTTAGGCAGCCATTTACACACTTGTCCGACTAGGCGGTAAAACATTGATGCTTAGAGTCACCTCGGAACAACCATTCGACCGCTTTCAATCATTGCCTCGACTATCACTAACCACCAACTGACTCGGAACTCGCAATTCACTGTTGAGCATATAACCATTAATGTGGAATCCAACTATCAGCTTAAGCTTTTAGTTGAGATGGAGCACATGATTCAATTTTCACAAACACTCGTTGCTCACCCCTTCGCCCTTCTCCTTTACTACCAATTTTTTTTCTGAGATTTATTTCAGAAAGAGGAGGCCGGAGATCACTCAACAGTTAAACACACAACACATGAATTCATATTCTGTAAAATACATGTATATACATACAGGAGTGCATATTCTGTATATATATACAGACACAAAACCAGATGAATCAAATATTTAAGTCCTATATTTCTCCTAAAAAATGTTGAATTAATTTTTTTTAAAAAAATATTTTCTGTAAATTTGAATATGAAAAAAATACAATTTGATTTATAAATCTGGAAAATGTATAAAACTGGAGATTACACTATAGCAAAATGGCTTATTTCATGAACCAATTTACACGTAAGAAAAAATATAGATAGAAAAGGGAGATTTTATACCTGCTAAGGGGAATAAATCGATTGTCCGACCATGAAGTGAGTAGGAAAACTAACGCCGGACTTTGAGTTGGAGATGCCGAGTGCGGAGAACCGGAGAAGCCGAGGGCGGAGTAGCGCGAAAAGCCGGAGAAGGAAGTAAACGGAGAGTTTTAGGACTAGTATTCGACCCGCACGGATAAAAATTTAAAAATTTTATTATTGTTAAATTCAACTTTTAAAAATGTGAAGTATACAATATATAAATTTTTTTTTTATAGATATAATAAATAAGAAGAGTAAATACCAAATTGTGTTAAAATTACAAAGTTAAGGACTTAATTGGTTGAAATTGAAAGTTGAGAACCAATTTTTGAATTTAGCTATAGTCGAGGGATCATTTTGGATATTTACTCAAATAAGAAATATAAGACATTTATAAATGACTTACACATTTCATAATATAATGGGTTGGATCTAGGGTTAGATATTTGGGTTGGGTTTTGGGCTGAATTTTGATAATATGGTTGCGAGTTAATTCCACTAGAGTTCTCTTTGTCTTTGGTGACAATTTTAAATTTAGTCCCAAAAAATAATAGTCTGGGATGTTAAATGAAAAAAATGATAATCTGTGACTAAATTTGGCCAAAAGTTTCCACCAAAGTAGATTATTATTTACTGATTTGGGAATCCGCACAACCACATTGTATTAATAAATGTGGTCCACCTTTGAGAATCATTCAATCAGTTTAGGTTTTTAAATTCAATCCCTAGGAGTCTCTTTGTTATCTGAAACGCTAGCATTAAATAACAGCTATAAACACTACTTTCATTCTACCTTTAAATCCTATATATAATAAAGCTATATGGTCGTGTGAAAAATTAAATGTTGCATTTAATTTTCACAAGACCATATGACTTTAAGATGTGAAAGTCTTGTGAAAATTAAATGGGCTTTAAGATGTGAAAATTACTTTAAGATGTGAAAATTAAATGCAACATTTAACTTTCACATCTTAAAGCCATATGGCTTTAAGAAGCATGCATGCAACCTCAAAGTCCATAAGTTTGAAATTAATATAAGCATATATAGCTATGTGGCTTAATATTTAAGATTGTTGATGTGCATATTGAGGACTACGGAGACAAAGATGCGTTATTCGTGGATTCATAGAATACTATCCAACAACACTCTCCAACTTAATTGACGTGAAGTAGGCTTAGTAACATTAAGATTATATTCTCGAATTATTAGTTCTCATCTTTTATTGATTACACACTTAATTTGATAGTATTTGAAAGAAAAAAATCAATGTTCTAACTAAGATTGTGATTTTGGTCTTTAAAGGACAATTGTATGTTGCTACATCTAGAGTTAGAAATCTCAAAGGTCTAAAAATTTTGATCCGTGGTGACTCTAAAATTGTAATTCAATTACTAGTGTAGTTTACTAAGTTCTTAAAAATTTATAATATTAAATACTATGTACTAAATTTTTAATATAGTTTAAGATTTGTAGTAATCATCCACCTTAAATATTATTTTAATTGTAAATATATTTATGTTCATAATTTTATCATAGGAATTCACACATAATAATTATTAAATAACAAAAATTTTATATATGAATAAACCTCATATAGTGTATATTTTTATAACATATTTTCCGTGCATCCCACAGGACAAATACTAGTACAAATTAAAGCATAAATCTCGGATAACAACTACAGATTTTAGAGATTGATTAGAATACAAATACATTTCTGAGATATAAACAAGTACACAATCATATATGCCGCCAATATACAATCTGGCCAGTGAAGTGACCCCTTTGAAAACCACCAGTGCTATGAAAGATGTGTTGTGTATATGAGATAAGAGATCGACGAGCGAGTGATGTAATCAAATGCACGGAGTGCGTATTTCATGATCTTGAGGTAGGCCTGAAAATTCTTTTTCAATCATAATTTCAGAACATGTTTTTAATTTTTAAGATATTTATATAGATATATAGATATATATTTTTTACAAATTTTTTTAGGGAAATTTATATTCCAGAAATTAGTATAGATTATAAACATATTCATAGATAATAATAATAAAAAAAAAGATCAATAAAAAACATTCGACATTCTAAAAAAAAAAATTGAGAAAGAGAGGAATAATATATATCATCGAAATCTGCTATCTCTTCAGTTTTATATTTTTAGAACACTAAATTCGTAGTATGTCAATCCGAGATATAATATATAAGTTAGAAAATTCGAAAATACTTTTTTTTTAGAACTCTAAATTCGAAATATAATATATCAGTTTCATGTATTTAAAAAAATAATAATAATTATTAGAACAAATTGAAATATAGATACTTACACTGTATGCTTTACCCGAATCTCTTAACCCAGATCTGAAATTTTCTTCATTTCAACATCATGTAATTCACTGTTTTTCTTCAACTCTTGCTATTGAACCTCTTTTTTGTTGCGATTACTGTCTAAAACCACTTAGATATAAGATCTATCAACATGCAGCTGAAATTTTATATTCATAAAAAAAATCGAAAGAAAAAATTGATCTCTAACCTATGCGTATCTACAATTCTACATACGAATTTTGTTGAATTTCTGACTGAAGATGCTTAGACGATCAGAGCGTATACACTAGGGTTTTTACAGAATTGAGATAGTCAGCTATTTTTCCTGAACTAACAATGGAACAGAAGAAAAAACAAAGATTTTCAACTTGTTAAGGATAAAGGACGAGAGGTAAGTTGATTGATTTGTATTAGGATTATTAGGACTCTATTATCCATATTAGACTAGGACTATATTATTCGTGTTAGACTAGGATTCTATCTAGCATCTCTATATATTCGCTCCATGTACTCTCAAACATTATTATTGAATACAACACAATTATATTCTCATCTGGTATCAGTTAGCCAGGGTTTTCTTTTCCAACATCCATGTTCCTCAATTCGTAGCAGTAGCCGATGGCATCAAACCAAGATACATTGTATCAGAAGTGGTCCGGTCAACGACGTGACGTTGATGATCCGTGTCAAATTTGTAACGGTTTCGGCCACACGGGAGCCAATTGTGTTTGGCGTTATGATGATCCGTGTCAAATTTGTGACCATTTTGGTCACACGGGAGCCAATTGTTTTTGGCGCTATGATGATCCGTGTCAAATTTGTAACAGTTTTGGTCACATGGGAGCCAACTGTTTTCAGCGTTATTCAGGGACTCCGGGTTTTCAGGCTAATGTGGTCGTCTCTGGTGATAATGGTGATTCCAACGGTCCTCATCAGTGGTTCCCTGACACTGGTGCTACATATCATGCAACGCCTGATTCTTCTTTGATGACTTCTGCGACAAGTTATGATGGCCCGGAGACTCTGCGAGTCGGCAATGGTACAGGTTTGCCTATTGTTAATGTTGGTTCTGCTTCATTAGCCACTGATTCTATGTCTTTTAAGTTACATGACGTTTTGCATGTCTCTGGTCTCTCTTCTTCTCTATTATCTGTCCAGCATTTTGCAAAGGACAATAATGTTTTCTTTGAGTTCCACCCTCTTTGTTTCTATGTGAAAGACATTTTGACCAAGAAGGTTCTTTTTAAGGGACATGCGTCTGGGGGTCTCTACACATGGCCTGCGTCTTCTGCTTCCCCTGCTGCATTTGTTGCTGCACGGTCCTCTTACGTTTGGCACATGCGGTTGGGGCATCCTCATTCTCGAGTCTTACGTAAAATTTTAGCGTCTTCCTCTGTTGGTACATTTAATTCTATTGATCTTCCCAATGTTTGTTCCTCTTGTCAATTAGGAAAATCTTCTCGTTTTCCTTTGTCTCGTGTCGAAACTACTAGTACGCATCCTTTGGAATTAATTTATTCAGATATTTGGGGCCCTGGGCCATTACTTTCTGCGTCTGGCTTTAAATATTTTGTGATGTTTGTGGATGATTACACTCGTTATATGTGGTATTATCCCATGCGTGCTAAATTCGATTTGTATGCTATATTTGATAAGTTTCGGTCACTAGTTGAACGTTCCTTTTCTAGCAAGATTATTTCTTTTCAATCTGATTTAGGGGGAGAATATAAAAAGCTTGGTTCCACTCTTGCGTCCTTAGGTATTCGTCACAGGCAATCATGTGCGTATACTCATGAACAAAATGGCAGGGTAGAACGTAAGCATAGGCATGTTGTTGAAACGGGACTAGCATTAATGGCTCAATCCTCTGTTCCGTCTCGTTTTTGGGATTATGCTTTTGAAACTGCGGTTTATCTAATCAATAAAATGCCCACTCCTGTCTTATCTGATAAATCTCCTCATTATCTTTTGCATCGGTCTCCTCCATCTTATTCATATCTGCGTGTTTTTGGGTGTTTATGCTTTCCAAATCTGCGTCCCTATAATCGCAACAAACTACAGTTTCGGTCATCCCCTTGTGTCTTTCTAGGATATCCTCCATCTTTTCGTGGCTATCGTTGTTTAGACACTAACACTAACAAGGTTTTTATCTGTTGCCATGTGCGATTCAATGAGGCTGTCTTTCCTTTTGTTGCTTCTGTGGATTAGCAGGTTCCAAAACTACGCCCGGAGCCGTGGGGTGTTGCACCAATTGTTTCTGGTGGTGATCCGACTATTGTCACGGCTCGTGACCCTCCTGCCGCGCCCATAGCCGCTTCTGACCACCACCGCCAGCAGCCTGCTATTGTCGAGCCCGTGACCGAGTCCGAGCGGACAGTCACGGACCAGCCGGCTCCTCGGCCAAGAGGCCGACCTCATGGTCGGTCTTGTCACGCGCCCTCACCCGTTCGCTCTCATGGAATGAATACGAGAAGTTCGGGACCACATGATCATGTTGCTTTATCTGCTGCTGCTGTTACTCCTGAACCTACATGTTTTACTCAAGCGGTTAAATTTCCTGAATGGCGGGATGCAATAGATTTGAAATTTAATGCCTTGGTGCACAACAATACATGGAGGCTTGTTCCCTTTAAATCAGGTATGAATGTAGTTGGATGTAAGTGGGTGTTTAGAACCAAGAGAAAGGCTGATGGTTCGATTGAGCGTTACAAGGCTCGGTTAGTTGCCAAGGGATTCAATCAAATTGCCGACAAGGATTTCTTTGAGACCTTTAGTCCCGTTGTTAAACCGACTACGGTACGTCTTCTTTTATCCTTAGCTATTTCTCGTGGATGGACTATTCGACAGTTGGACATACACAATGCTTTTCTAAATGGCAATCTCGCTGAGACGGTTTATATGCGCCAGCCCCCTGGTTATGAAGACAAAACGATGCCCGGGCACGTTTGTCTCCTTCAACGTTCTTTATATGGGCTTAAGCAAGCTCCCCGTGCTTGGTTCACTCGTTTGCATGATTTTCTGGTTTCTCACCTTCCAAGACGGATGTCTCTCTATTTATATATTCACATGGCAATACTCGTTTATATTTTCTGGTTTATGTGGATGATATTTTGGTTATGGGATCTGATTCGGCTCATGTGACTGCTCTTATTGACAAGTTGGCTCTTGAGTTTAAAGTTCGTGATATGGGTGTGCCCTCGTTCTTTCTGGGTATTGAGACTATTTTGTTGTCTGATGGCATGCTTCTGTCTCAACAACGGTACATGAAGGATATTCTAAAACGAGCATGTATGGTTGATTGCAAGCCCGTGGCTACTCCGGTTTCAACCACGAAGGCCGAGACTGATGCCGTGGTACCATACGCTGATCCCACTCAGTATCGCAGCTTTGCAGGTGCTCTGCAATATCTTACGGTAACTCGGCCTGATCTTTCCTATGCAGTCAATCGTTTGTGTCAACACATGCACTCTCCCTCTACTACGGATTGGGCGGCTCTCAAGAGGGTGTTACGGTATGTAAATGGGACACTACATCTTGGTCTTAAGATTACGTCTTCTCCTTCTCTAGATATTCATGCATATTCTGATTCGGATTGGGCTGGCAATCCTGATGATCGTGAATCTACTAGTGGTTTTGCTGTATTTTTGGGGACCAATCTTGTCTCATGGGTTTGTCGAAAACAACGTACTGTGGCTCGTTCATCAACTGAGGCTGAATACAAAGGACTAGCGGATGTCTCTGCAGAGGTTACTTGGCTCGTCTCTCTGATGAAGGAAATCGGGTTTGCGTCACCTTCTGTGTCCAAACTCTGGTGTGACAATCTGGGAGCTACTTATCTGTGTGCTAATCTGGTGTTTCATGCTCGCACCAAGCACATTGAGATCGACTACCACTTTGTTCGTGATAAAGTCGCGAAGAAGGAATTACAAGCCAATTTTATTTCTACCAAAGATCAGATAGCGAATATTTTTACTAAGTCTCTTTCGTCTGTACGTTTTAATTTACTCCGTTGCAAGCTCAATGTTTTGGCTGACCAACCTTATGCTTGAGGGGGAGTATTAGGACTATTAGGACTCTATTATCCATATTAGACTAGGACTATATTATTTGTGTTAGACTAGGATTCTATCTAGCATCTCTATATATTCGCTTCCTGTACTCTCAGACATTATTATTGAATACAACACAATTATATTCTCATCTATTTTTACAGAATTGAGATAGTCAGCTATTTTTCTTGAACTAACAATGGAACAGACGAAAAAACAAAGATTTTCAACTTGCTAAGGATAAAGGACGAGAGGTAAGTTGATTGATTTGGACATGGTTAAGATTGGAAGTAAAAGAAATGAAGAGAGAAACGAAGCATTTACAGTCGTTATATTATAGACCGCGGTGCATGTGCACCGCGGTAAAAAACGACGCCGTTTCTTTAAGTAAAGAAACGGCCCGCCGTTAGAGTTAACGGAGTCCGTTTGTTTGGTGTATTAAACACCAATTGACACTACAGTATATCCAAACCGACACTGCAGTTATATCAAAATGATAATGTAGTTATAGTGAAATGAAACTGCAGTGTATATAAACTGAAACTGAATAACATTTCACATATTTGAGTGTATATTATACAATGAAGCTGTAATTATATCAAAATGATCATGTAGTTGTGTTTTAATGAAACTATAGTGTATATAAAATAAAATTAAATAACATTTTCACATATTTGAGTCTATAAATATCGAATGAAACTATAGTTATATCGAAATGAAACTGTAGTTGTGTTCAACTGAAACTGCAATTCATACAAAATGACACTGAATAACAGAGTTACTTTTTGCAAAAGGGTGCGAAACGGCGGAAATAAACACTGTTAATTTTCATTTAAAAAAAAAAGACGCGCGGTGCATAATATAATTTGCCAAGCATTTATACATGGGCTTTCTTGAATTTGGGCTCTACATTTTATCTTTTTGGGCTCTTAAAAAGATAGAGAGATGAGGATGAAATGCAAAGACCGCGCAAATTATACTGCATCCGTATGCACTAGGATGCAAAAACGACGTCGTTTTGGTTAAAAACGCGCATCCTACTTAAAAAAGAAATCAGGTTCGATTCCCGGTAATAACATTTTTATATATTCGTAAATTCATAACTATATATCCACAGTGAATGAATGAACTAAATATCCACAATAAATAAACTAAATATCCATAATGAATGAACTAAATATCCACAATGAATGAACTAAATATCCATAAATTCATAATTATATATCCAGAAATTCATAACTATATATCCATAAATTCATAACTATATATCCACAGTGAATGAATGAAGTAAATATCTACAATGATTGAACTAAATATCCACAATGAATGAACTAAATATCCAGAAATTCATAACTATATATCCATAAATTCATAACTATATATCCACAATAATGCTATTGCCGAAAATCGAACCTGATTTTTTTTTTTAAAAAGTGGGACGCGCGTTTTTAGTCAAAACGACGTCGTTTTGCATCGTATGCAACATGCATGGTGCATTCGGTTGCACATCATAACTATTGGTGTATTGGGCAAGAATGAGGATGAAATGGTCTTGGTCCGGGTCTTTCTGATCCACTCAGTTCGCTCCGAAAGGCACAAAAAATTGGTCCAAAGGGAATCATCCATGCCGATGCACCCAAGAAATTTGCCCACTTTGAACATAATTTCCACACTACCGCCGTTAAGGTTTGAACTTTGGTCTCTTCTCTCAAATACTACCCACTGAACCATTGAACTTAACCCACAACCTTAAAAGATGATGGGTATCACTGGGAATTATCTGTATTAATATAAGAGTGAGAATCTAAAGTACAAGTCATTAATGCAATATATTACACTAACACAATTTGTATTCCACTTATAACCTTAACAGTATTGACTTTTATTTTATTTATTATTATTATATATTTATTATTATTAGTAGGTATGTTTTAATTGTTTGAATAAATATTTTAGGCATATGAACGATTATGATACAAAACTAATTTTTGATGTCATACATAATAGTTATATGAGAGAAAGAATAAACCTTTGATTGGCAATATTAAGCTTCAAATGTAAAATTAGTAATGGTGATCAATTCATCATGTACTTAGGATTTTCTTTATTGGTTGCCTATCTTGAGTATCTTCTATCTCATTGTTGGTAACTCATTACTTAAGTTTTTATAAGTTTTCTATTTTCTTTTTCTAGTTCATTTTTCTTTTTTTATTGATTTTGATATTTCATTTCACCTTAGTTTGGGCATTCTGAATCGACCCCTTACTTTTGCACACTACTATCAATCTGTGCATTTGTAAGAATTTTAAAATTGTTCATCTATCACAACGATTGAAGCAAAATATGTTGTAGCAAGAAGTTGTTGCATAGAGTTGCTATATGTACGAGGTAAGTGATTTCAAATTATGATTTTGACGAAAAAGTGTATGACCTTGCAATGATTACACAAGAGACAAGAGCGATTAACATTGTTAAAAATAACCCAAGAGGTACTTCAAGTGGCACTCTCTTTGAGGGGGAGAATTTTGAAATAATCTGGGTTTGATTCTTACAAATGACGATTTTCTTTGGTCCAGCTTCTATGACTCTCGGAGCGAACGAGGATTCGGATAGACCTAACTGTTAAACGGATAGAGAAAGATCCGGACCACCTTGTGGTTTACACACACAAAAAAAAAAACATTGCTAAAAATTTGATAATACACTATAATACTAAACACATTAACATACGACATCACTTTATAAGTACAAGGGTGAGATTTAATCAAGAGTGACAACAGCACTACCAAGTAAAATAAGAGTTTGTTTTACTTTTACCAAGACCTTGTAGTCTAAATGGCACCAAGGTTGTATTCCCATATGAGAGATGTTGTGGGTTTGAGCCTTAGTGGAAGCGACATTGACTTTTTGTGCTTCAGTAGGTTGAGAAAGTAGTTATGAACAACATTCAATATATATATATATATATATATATATATATATATATATATATATATATATATATATATATATATATATATATATATATATATGAAAGGGTTAGGTGCAGGGATGGCTTCCCATGCGGTTGTGCGCAGGGACGGAGCCAGAAATTTGGTTGGGGGGGGGTGGGGGGGCGAAACAGTACAGACGGATTCAGAAAATTTTTCTAGAAAAGGCGAAACATTAAAACAAAAGAGATAATTTAAAAAAAATAAATAAACTACCTAAGAAATATAATTGTAAATATTGTTGGATATGGACGAAAAATAAAACACATCGAAACTTTATAAAAATATTCATAACAAAATATGAAACATAATTAATAAAATAATTTGAATATAAAACACATTATAAATTACACATCTAATTATAGAGTGTGTGTGTAATATTAAAAAAGCTATTAAAAAAAAATTGTAATAACTACGTTGATGCTAAGATTGGAACCCTTAACCTCATTATTACCAAAGTTGTGCTCTACCACCTACTCTAACTCACTTGTTAATATTTTATAGTTTTTTTATACTAATACTAAAACATGTACTATATATACATATATACATACAAATACTATATATGGGGTGGGGGTGGGGTGAGGGGGGCAGCCGCGCCCCCTGCCCCCCCTCTCCCTCCGTCCCTGGTTGTGCGGTTGGACGCACCTTAATCATTAACATGGCGCATCTTAAATACACAAATCACCACGCACCTTAAGTACAAAACACAAGCACATTAAGCACAGAACAAAGCACTTTGAGCACAAAACTCACACACTTAAGATTTTAAAATGTTTCACATTAAGCACAAACTCACATGCATTAAGTACAAAACCCACGCACATTAAGCACAACCTCACGCACATTAAGCACAAAACTCATGCACTTTAAGTATTAACTCACAGACCTTAAGTTTCAATGACTACTGACATTAATCACTAGCTTCTCACACATTAAGCACAAACCCTACGCACATTAAACACAAACTCCACTCACATTAAGAACAAATTTCACGCACCTAAAGTACAAAAGCTCACACTTTAAGTTTAAACAACTACTCACATTAAGCACAACCCCGCGCACATTAAGCACAAAACTCACGCACCTTACGCATAAGACTCACGCATCTTATATACAAAACTCACGCACATTAATCACAAAACCGCTCACCTTAATATTGACCTAGATGCAAAAATTACAAAATTGCCA